GATAAAATATGTGTTTTCTCCCAGTCCTTTTTATTTATAGAAGTCCTGACATTAAATTTAAGAGAGCTCAATTTTTATGCACTTGATAATCACAAATAATGTTAAGCTTTTTGAAATTAAAGATTTTCTTTTCTTGTACTTCTTACATCACGATTCACAAAGAGTGAGAAAATTTAGAAACTAAATATATATATATATATATATATATATATAGTACATCTTGCATGATGATTCACAAAGAGTGAGAAAATTGAGAAACTAAATATATATATATACATATATATTTTCAAATGAAGGTAATCCAACAACCACAATGGAAGACACTTGACAAGTAGGGGCCTACGAGGAGAAAAGTGAGGGTCTACCTTTTGACAGCTTGAATTATGATAGTTGGGTACGAGCCAAAACCCATATCGAGTGATTACTGATGGCTTGTTCAAAGGATATATCCCGACTGAATTCCCTCACGTCCGGTTAAGCGATTTCCTCATTCAAACCAAATAAACAATATTAGTTGCTCAAATCTTTTGTAGACGGCCTGTATCTTTCAACCGGTCTCCAAACCAACGATTGCCTAAATTAAATACTAGATCGAACGTCTTTTCTGGCTTCCAGCCCTTTTAATGCATATTACCGAAAATATCTCTCTACTGTCTTTACTTTACTAGGGCGTACAAATGTAATTTTATTGTCTCATTATCTATGAATAGAGGGCTTTTTTCATGAATAAAAGTTTGCAATTTCTATCGTTTATCATTTTGCTCTCTGCTTTTCTCTTATCTTTATCCCTATATTACTTGAGTGTGTCTCCCGGATAGCTTTAGATTCAACAATAATTTAGTAAAGGCAATTGTAGCATGAGAAATATGTATTATAGTATGAGGCAAATTTTTAGGAGAATTTAGATAGTGATAATCGGCATGAGCAGGCTTTTTTTGTATGGTTAAAGTTACGAACTTTGAATTCTTTTAGGGCGTCAGGTCTCGTGTTATTCATGTGTTCACATAACAAAGGAGAGACCAGTGTGAGGAATGTGAAGGAAGAGGACTAATATATTTTATTCTCTTCTGGTGAAACAGAGAAGATGGGACCAAAAAGGTTTTATAAGAGACATGGTGGAGGATCCCTGAAAAAAATGATCTGGAGAGTCGATCCTGACCCAGGTTATATGTGTTGAAGAAAATATTAAAATATAAGTTTTGTCGTATAAAATATGTTCATAATGTCTCGATATAAAGATCATATCATGTTTGTTAGACGGTTTATAAATGAGGATGTGACGTATGCTCATCGAATTTGACTTTTTTATGTTCTTATAGTCTCAAAGATTGTCGAGGAGGCAATTTAGGCTAGAGAATCTAATTAGTCGATTTGTTAGAATGAGCGGACAAATCAGATTGATGAGGCCATGTTTTCAAGTCAATCGAGTAGGTCAACTTTGCAGCTACTATAAAAGAGCTGATATATCAACAAATAGGGTTAGCATTTTATTTTATCAAATCACTCCAATGACAGTCGTGTCTCCCGGATAATTAAGCTAATCAGGGCCACGAGGCCAGCTAAAATGTGGGCTTCAGCCCTGATTTTGGTTGTAAAGGAGCATTATTTTGACACGGATCAAAATTAATAATTAATTCATCAATTAGTTGAATATGACTAAATATTCATGTTATGTTTAAATTTCCAAAACTTGTCAAAAAACACTTCAAAACGTTGATTTATTGTAACATTGAAAATGATTAAAAATAACTTCCAAAGCAGCGAAGCTTTTAAAGATCTTGGCACGTTGCAGTTAGGTCGCATATAATGAAGTATTTGAACTTTTAGTTCATCGATCGGTGATATGGTTGCAAAAATTGGGAGTCCCACCTTGTACTGAGCAGCGGGAATGTGAGTTAATAATAATTTGTATTAAAATCTCTAATATCAAAATTTCATTTTTTACATTTATATCATTCAGGTTTTTATATAACATCAAGAATATCACTATTTAATTTTGATGCGTGCAAGAAAATTTATGGCAGTAGAGTAGCTGATTATCATCAAAGAATGATATGAAAATTCATTACACACTCAAAAGAGAGAAGATAACTAGTAATAACACCACACACTTTTAAGTGGAAAAACTAGAAAGGGAAAAAACTACAGGGCCTCGCCTAACTGAAGAAATCCACTATAAACAGGATATTAAATCTACAATTCCCCGTCCCAGTGGCTAGAAAAAGGTGAACAAACTAAAGAGATGAACACTCTTAGGAGTTACAACGTCGGTGCACGAATGAACTTATTGTAACAAGCGGGATGCGGCCAATGATGATCGATGGAGGCTGGCAGGTAGTGGTCAACTGTGGTTGGCGATGAACGAGGGCGGTCTACGGCAGTTGATAGTGATAGACAGCGGGCGACTGTTGGCATTGATCGACGACGGTCAGCGGTGGTTGACGACAATGTCGATGTTGATCGCCATCAATAGTGGCAGAAATAGTGCTGGACTTCAGCTCCTTCTCAATGCTTCAAGTTTCCCATGAGAGGGGTGAAGATTTATTTATAGTTTTCTGGGTACAATTAATGTTGAAATATGAACCGATCGTATGATCCAAATAGCTTCTTTTGATCTTAATGATGTCAGAATTGAATGATCTCAAACTCGTTGGGTTCATCTTGCTGAGACGCTCCATTCTACTATGAACTTGTCGGATTCAACTTCCGTTTGACCTTCCAAATGTGTTTGGAAAACTTCAAAAAATAGTTTGATGGCTTGATCTGGGCTTGATTTGATTCATATTGGAACAATGTTGATATCATTTGGTTCGTTTTGTCAAACCAGTACGCTTGACCCTAAATTTATTGAAATCAAATTTCTGAATGATTCCTCATAAAAGTTTAAATATTTTTTACTCAAAAAATTATCTTGAAATATGCGTCATGCATTGAAATTTGTGCCATTAGTTTGGAATTTATTGATGGCGTATTAATTTTAAATATATTTTTTTTTGTTGCAGAGCTAAGAGGACAAATATATAAAAATTGAAGTTCAAATATTAGAAATGTTAATACACAAAAATTGAGCGGTATGTATGCAAATCTTATTAACAATTTGTGAGCTAAGACTGCAAAGTTAGCGCCAACAATTCTGTGCATAAACAAATTTTTTTCTCTTTTTCTCTTATTCTTTTTAATTTTTACTACATCTCAGATAGCTTCTACAAGTTCTTCCTATGGTGCTTTACCTGTCGATACCAACTTCGACTACTATGTGTTTTTTTCGCTGCCATATTGATTTTGGAGCTGCCCTCAGATGCAGTGCTGATGCTGTTTTATCATTCTTTTGGTTAGGTGTTGGGATCACTTTTACGACTTCTTCTCTAATTTTCGAATTTTATTTTGGTTGATTCTTATTTAGTTTCTTATTTTTTAATGTGGAGTTGTATTTTAATTTTCGTATTCTTTTTCTTTTTCAGTAATAAAGTTAGATATTATCCTCAATTTTTCCTAAATAAAAATTGAATAATGCAAAAAAAGAATCAGCCTTTTTCTTATGGATAAGCAAAGTTTTTTTACGTCAAATACTTGTTTCTACATATTTTTATTTGTATTTAATTGTTACTAAAAAAAATTATTAAGAGGGAGTAAAATTATTTATTAATCTTCAGGTATTCCTACTTTGGGCGCCTGTCGCAACAGCGTCTGCTTGGGTGGAATCACTAAGATCATTATGGTAATGAATTTGTGTATGATGATTCTTTAATTTATATTATATCAGTTGGTGTATTATATCTGTGAAGTGATTATTCAAAATATATAATTTGCTTAGTTGAATTGGTGATTAATTTTAGACTAGAAGTGTTTTATTTAATAGTTAGAAACATGGAGTAAGCTGGGCATTTTCTCATTAATTCGAGCTATATTAAATGGAAGTTATGCAGTTGGAAAAAATAATAAAAAAAAAAAAACAGTTTTATTATTATTATTTTATTTTTTGAAGTGCACTATTCCTCCCCTATTTTTTATATGAAGATTTCCTCTAAAATAGATCTTTTCTTGGGATTCTGAGAATACTTCTATTTAAAAAAATATATAGTTTTAATTTCCTTTTTTATTATTTTAGTTGAAATAAAAATATTTAGATATTTGAATATTTTAACAAAAATTAGTTTGTTTTTTAAAATAAATTAATTCATTTTCTTAAAATAACAAATAAAAACATGCAGGAAATAAATATGCTCTTAAAATAAAAATGATCACTAACAAGGCATTAGTCATTTAATTTTTTTCTCTGTGTTCCGAACCTTTTTAATCATAATTAATTATGGTACGGAGGCAATTTTAGTTCTCAATGGAGTATATGTGGAAGCAATTTTTTTCCTCAGAAAAAGGAAAAATGGCAGCAAATGGATTAAATGCAAACCATAATTAACCCCATTTGATTCTCAGTTTTAATGGTAAGAATATATCAGGCGAACGCTTGTGAGAGTGAAGTAAGCCCTTCCACATTTTCCACATAAAAAACCTTACCAATTATTAAGTGTTGTGAGACTTTTTTTTTTTTGTATGTGTGAAAAAATTGTTATTATCCTTGTATTATAATGAATATTCAAGCAAGCACTAGTTTGAACTCTCCTTATTAGAAAGCTTATGTTTGTTGGCTATCTAAGCAATTTCCAAATGGCCAAAAAATGCAATGCCTATAATAATAGAAACAGGTATTTAAAATTCTGCAGGACATAAAATATATTAAATCCTGCTGCCTGTGTGGCATGGCATGTATGTAAATCTTCCAAAACTTAATCAATTATAGGTACTAGCCCATTGATCGTTCCCAAAAACATAAATCAGTCATAAAGTAGGGCACCATAAGTTTTCGAACCAGCACATCAGCATATTAAACGTCGATAGAAATCACAACACACATCAAATACTAAAGCCTTTCAAGAGCAAATTAAAAGAGAATCATTAACTATGAAATGCACATCAATATACTAAAGAGAAGTCAAGTCTAAAAACACATTCAACCAATGAAAGAATTGCAGATTTAAAGCATTCCACCTATGCAGATCTAATGATCTAATAATCCTTTATAATTACTCAGCAACTCGCTAAAATCTACACCAAAGAAGAGCACGAAGCCGTTAACGGATCAAAGATCGCCGGAAGCAGATACTTCCTCCCGTGAGCCCCATTGGCGTTGTAGCTTGCACCGGTGACGGAATCCAATAGAAGCTCGCCGGCGTAACCAGGGTACGCTCCCTTACCGTAAACCCCCGGGCACGCCGTCGCCGCCTCAAGCGGCGCTGTCTTCGGGCCCATAAAGAAACCGCCGCCGAAGGGGTTAGTAACAGCTCCGGCTATCATGCTCGCCAGATTCATCACCATGCCGTCAACTCCGACGTCTCCGTTAGGCGCCACAAGGGGTGGAGCCTGCGGACCGTACACCGGTTGATGGAAGGGCCATGCACACTGGCCGGGACACTGCACCGCCGAGTTACCCACCCAGATGTAGGCGAACCGGCCAGCTTTGGACCGGGGAGAGGATCCGTGGGTCGCGCAACGGCTCATACAGAAACCCTCGACCGCTACGTCATCCGACGTTAAGACGACATTCATGGCCTGCCGAGGCCTGCCTTTCGTTGCGAGAGCCGCAATGTCTGAGTTCTTTAAGGATTTGCCTAAGGAGTAGCCCTCGTCAATAATCTGATCACCGAGGGTGAGAAGAGGCGGCATTTTCTTCGATTGAACGTAATACTTCTCGGTCATCGCCCACCAGGATGACACGGAGGGCTTGTTGTTCTGGTGATAGCCGGATGAGAGGGATGCGACGAAATCGGAGACGATGGATCGCTGGGAGGCGGAGAACTTACCATACCAAATGAGGTTGAGGGAGATCGGGCCATAGAGAAGAGCGCCCTTGTGGTAGGTGATGGTAAGCGGCTGCTTTTCTAAGTCGACCTGGAGCATCCGGCCAGCGAGCGAAGATTGGAAGAGAAGAGCCAAAAGCAGAAAGAAGCAGAGATGCGAGGAATGAGATGAAGAATCCATGGCCGCGGATGATTATGGAAGGGAGAGAGAGGAGAAGATTCTCTTGTGAGAGTGAAGTTTTCGGAGAGTACTTGGAAGTCGTTTGTGGCTGTGGATGATGGGAGCATTCCCCGCATTTTATAGGGAGAGGAAGGTGATACTGATATCTTCTGCTACTCTGTTAATTGATAGGAAGGCGCGGCGAAGGAATAGAACGGTTTTGAAAAAGTCAGCTCAAATATTAATAAAATAATAATAATGATTCGTCTATTTAAAAATACTTAAAATTTAACTGAATTATATAAATATTACTAAGTACTAAAGTTATATTAAGTCGTCATCCGTCCTTTGATTTACTTTGTGTCAGTGTTAATGCATAATGCAACGGAGCATTAGGAGATAAACATACAGATCTCAAAGCAATCTAAGGCTTGTGAGTTCACTCAATTATTTATCTTAATGCACTTTTAATAATGATTTTAAGTCCACCTGCTCCGCTCACCGAACGAGCCGTTGCCAGCTACGCTTTCGCCAGCTAATCAGCTCAGAGTTTCTCGCCAGCTGTAGCTTTGGTGCTATGCTACCCTAACGTAGAGAAAACTTGTGGGGACAAGTCACAGAGCAGAAGGTGAGAAAATTAAAAGCCATGGGCGTATTCGAAGAAATTTCAAATTTGAGAACGGTGATTGGGCGGAACGGTGATTGGGCGGAACGGCTGGGATTTAATTAATCGATACTTTAGATATTTGTTAATTTTGAGAAAAAAATGGAGTAATAACGCGGCGAATTGGAGAATATTTCGGGAAAGTTAGGTAGGCGCCCGCTTAGCTGTACCGATCACTACGGTCCCCTCGGGGTTCACGAAGAAAGCGTGAAGTGACGCGGAAAGGATTGGCACAAGTAATGAGCGCGCCTCGGTGACGCGGGTTGTTTATTTTTTGGGTTAAATTTTATAAAAATAAAAGTATATATTCTTAAATATAAATATTTTTATGGATTTCAATCATGTTTTAAGTCATACAGGCAATGCTTATTCATTTATTTTAAGATGAATATAAGATACAATTTTCATAAGGTATGTATATTTAAAATAATTTTTATAATTTTAAATTTTACTACAATTAAAACAGGTATGTATATTTAAAATAATTTTTATAATTTTAAAATTTACTACAATTAATGTTTTTGTTTGGGTGTCTGTTATAGTAAAAGTTGTATCAACATAAGATAATTCGCCTTTTCTTTTGTAAAGTTCAGTGGGCTTTATTGATGCTATAATACAGGTTAATTATATCTGTGAAGTGATTATTCAAAATATATAATATGTTTAGTTTAATTAGTGCTTAATTTTAGATTAAAAGTGCTTTATTTAATAGTTAGAAATATGGAGCAAGTTGGTCATTTTCTCCTAATTCGAGCTAAATTAAAAGAAATTTATGCGGCTGGAAAACAAGACAGTTTTATTATAATTATTTTATTTTATTTTGCAGGAGTGCACTGAAGGAAGTTCTGATTTTGCGCTGAATTGTGAAGAGCGAAGAGCGAAGAGGAGAAAAACTAACATCCTATTTTTAATATGAAGATTTCCTCTAAAATAAATCTTGTTTTAGGATTCATTTGAGATTACTTTTATTTTTTTTAAAAATAACTTTAATTTTTTTTATTATTTTATTTGAAATAAAATTTTTTAACATAAATTAATTTGTTTTTTGAAATAAATTAATTTGTTTCCTTAAAATAATAAATAAAAGCATGCAAAATAAAAATATGCTCTTAAAACAAAATAAAAAATAATTAAAAATGATCACAAAAAAGGCATTAGTCATTTTAAAAAAAAAAAATTTGTGTTTCGAACAATTTTATTTGTGTTTCGAACAATTTTAATATCATAATTAATTATGGTACGGCGCTAATTTTACTTCTCAATGGAGTGTACGTGGAAGCAATTTTTTTTTCTCAGAAAAAGGAAAAATGGCAACAAACGGATTAAACGCCACATCATAGTTAACACCATTTGATTCTCATCTTTAATGGTAAGAAGTATGAGTTCTATAAATCGAAATAAGCAGTAAAATTGAGCAAATTAAAAATTAGCCTCATACGTCAAACTCAAATTAAAATATTTGGGTTCAAGTTAACATGAATAATTTTATGAGCAGCATTTTGGTTAAAAATCTCAACCCGTTTAACATTTTTTGTTGGGTTGAGATTGACCTGCTAACTCGTGATTCAAAAAAAAGTCTTCAACTCTAAAGTAACCCGCCAATTCAGGCTTGACCTGAAATTGACTAGAAATTCACCTGATTTTGACTAGAATACATGTTGGCTCTTATGTTAATTAGATTATATAGGTTCGGGTTCGGGTTGGGCGGTTAAAAGCGGGTCGTGTTTATGTTGGAGTTTCTAAACCGTTTAACATTCAGGTAGGGTTTGGAACCCAACCTACTACCCTTAGGATTTTTGCTTGTCCAAATTTCCTTACCTTCTTTTGTCACCCAATTTCTTTCTAATTATAAGATTTGGTGTAATGAACACCTTCCAACAATTACTCATGTCAAACATCTTCCAATAACTGATATCAATAAAATATTTCAAACACTTATTATCACCTATCATTAACTTAAACTGACAACCATCATCTTTTGTGATTTTGAAGTCTAACATACACCCGGGATTACTCGTTCTCTAATACTAGTGTGCATCACCAACGTCAAGCAACACTAAAATTTATTATTGTTTATCATTTCTCTTTTTGAGCAACTATCTACGTAGCACACCATCAACTAACATAATCATTGTTATTCATCTTCCAACAATCACCAATGTCCTTCGTTACTCATTCTTTGCATTAAGAGTATGTAATTTCCGTTAATTGTCATTAATTTTCATTGTTGTAAATAATTTACTTCTCAATGCAATCCCTTCAATAATAGAAAATTTACTTATTATATATAACATGTAGCAAACATAGTTGAACCATTTAATTGGGCCATATACCTCAAAGATGCCCCTTCCACATTTTTCACATAAAAAACCTTACATATTATAAGTGTTGTGAGACATTTTTTTTTTTTTTGTATGCGTGAAAAATTCTTATTATCCTTATATTATTATGAATATTCAAGCACGCACTAATTTGAACTCTCCTTATTCGAAAGCTTATGGTTGTTGGCTATCTAAGCAATTTCCAAATGGCCAAAAAATGCAATGCTTATAATAATAGAACTTCTCATCCTATTTTTCATCACTTCAAAAATAAATACCTCTTGGCCAAAAAATGGAATGCTTATAATAATAGAACTTCCCATCCTATTTTTCATCACTTCAAAAATAAATACCTCCATTATGAATGTAGGCCTTCTACTCTCTCCCATCTCAACAAGGACAATCGTACTAAACAACATTGATAATAAAATTCTCCAACCCTTTTATAAATTATTTTCACCTTAATTTGATTTTACTGATATCTACATCACTATCAAAATCAATAAGGTTGCATGGTCATTCAAATTATTAACACTTCACATGGGTGAAATTCCTCTTCTATAACTTAAAAGTTACTTCATTTACACCATTAATTCCGCTCATTCATATTGTGTGGCTCAAATAACTTTCATCCATCAATAATTATTACAATACTTTATCTAGCTTCAACTAGTAGCCACCCTTGATCACAATGTTTTTTATATATAAACTTTATTGTATGGTAGGAAGGAATTCTTATTAAAGTGCAAGAATTAGGTTGCAAGCATCATAGTTGAATAAGTACATGCCTCTAAATATATTATCCTCAAGTTCCCTATTCTGAAAGATTTAAGCTCACCATTATAGACTCACATGATGGGTGTCATTAAACTCTATGAATATATCTGTCAATATAAGACCATCATGTTATGTTAACATACCTCTAATGAACAAATCTCTTAAATATTTAAACCCGCACTTGCTCAACTTCTTCTCTAAGAGCTATCCATGTATTTATTGTGCTCACTGACTTATTTGCTTATCATTTTGTTAACAGACCTCTAATGAACAAATCTCTTAAATATTTAAGCCCGCACTTGCTCAACTTTCTTCTATAAGAGCTATCCATATATTTATTGTGCTCACTGACTTATTTGCTTATCATTTCATCTTAAATCCAAAGATTATCAATGACTCATCCCAAGTCTTTAAGAATCAACAAAATGACAAAAAAATCCCTTATTAGTTGAGGTATATCTGCATATACTTACCTTACAAATAGAGAGGCATTATGAGTTTCTATAAGGGTATCCCTTCAAAGTTTCTATTATTATCTTCTCTATTTATCACAATTATTTGATATAATTTGTTTTTTATAGTTATCTTATCCACTTTGTTGAAGCCTAACTTATCAAAGATGTGGCCATTAATACAATCCAAAGAAACTCGACCATTGTACAAGCACACAGTCATGTAAGAGGGGACTGACCAACAATGTAAATGAATGACGCATCTCTATGGTGAAAAAAAATTTCCCTAGCAGATAAACTCCTACCATAATAACATTTTACTACAAATAAAATGATTCTCCTTTTCTATCACAAATTAATTTAGAAACTCAAAATTCAACTATGAGTTAGAGATATATTTGTAATTAAAAAAATTTCTGAACAAATTACCTTTTGCCAAAAATAACTATTTTTTAGGCAATATTAACTTTTCATGACTCAATTGGAAAACAACTTTTTTTACTCATTACAAATCATTTCTAACTAAATTCAGTTTTCATTTATACCTTTATTGGCCCGCATCATCATCTAAGTGTTGGTAAAAAACTGAAAGATTTACATGTCTAACACATAAACTTCAATTTTTTTTGATACATATCACCTTTCCTTTGCATGAAAAGGTGTATTATGCTTTTTCTAAAGTTAAAATAGTGATATTTTTTATGTGTTATGAAAGATTTGGGTGGTATAAATCTTAAAAATAAATTTTAGGTGTTAGTTATGTAAATACACAAGAATTGGGTGGTGTATTTGTCCTCATCCCAAACTGATTATATTCCAATAGATTATAGTGATATAGTTGAGAGAAAAATCGGTAAAGACCGGAAGTTGAGTAATAAAGAGTTTTTCATAGCGTGAAGTTGAAAGAGTCAATGACGTACCTGCCAATTTTGAGAGTCAAGACTTCCATTCGGATAGGTGTACCAAAATTCATTGTTGCTATTATTAATAGCTATGGTTGAATGTTAATATGAGTGTGAAGTTGGGCCATTGTTCATGAAACGATTTTAATCAAGTCCCAATTCAGTTTGATAAACGAATTGCACAATTTTTTAAGACATCTTGTCAGTTGACACTTTACCACATCAGCGAGTAAAATTGTCTGCTGAGATAGTCATTTTGCTAAAACAAATTTAAAAAGATATTAGGACAATTGTGCGTTTTTTAATATGAATCCCAAATTTTAAAACAAACGCATGACAGTGAGCCTATATATATATATATATATATAACAACACAAGCATAATCATATTGCATGCTTTAATTATGCATCCACAAATGTGCATATATGTGCAAGCAAAGTTCAGTACCATTCAAAATAAGCCAAGCTCAATCTGTGCTCCAAACTCGGGCTAAATAATTCGGATTTGAGGCTTGGCTAATTCTTTTTGGTCAAGTTTGATACTTAACCGCATGTCATTGCAACTAAAATCACCACTTCTAATTGTTAAAGGGTTTGTAAACCGGATTCTATATAAAAGGTTCATGATGTAGCATATGTGATGAAAACTGAAATAATGAGAAATTTTATGTTCATAATTTTCCACATAAATCTGTGCTATATAATTCTAATTGTTCCATTTACGATTCATCCCCTTGCTTTCATTACACTAATCAAAACAAGACATTTAATTTACTAGTAATTCCACATACTGCAGTTTACAACAACTACAAACCATAAGAGCATCTTATAAACTGCATCTATTCGCAACCTCATGCGAGTGAGCTGTGTTAGATTTGACCTTCAAAATAAAATGTCTATACTTGAATTTTAAAAAAAACTGCACCCAGCTGCTCCTTCGTTACATTAATTACTGTTACTTATATACATATAGTCAGCTCTCTTCATTATTATTTAATGAAGCATTTCGCTTATCTTCTTCTAATAAATCCGCAATGCTTTCTTGGATTGAAACGGAAGTAGTGGGATCAGCCGGACGTGCGCCGTGCTGAGCGTACGAGTGTCTCTGCCTCGGTTTGTCGTCTTTGTTGGGAGCAAAAGTACGTTGAAGACTTTGCCTTAGAGTTAAAAAGTCGCAAAATTGAAAAAATTAATGAGCTTTATGATTCTGAGAGATAGGAGCATAGCTAGCAGGTAGATTGCCTGTTTGTGATTGCTGCCTATTTGCGAGGCATCTGAGACTTATTAAGTCAGGCATAGGTGCCTTGCTTTTGTTTTAGGGAGCATTATTATTAAGCTTGAGATTTAATTGAACAATTTGTCAACGAAACACATGCTCGTATTATTGTAGAGTTTAAAGAAGTCTGGTAAGTTAATTACAACCCTTGTGTGATTGCTATGAAACTTCCATTGCCAGAAAACTATTTGAAGAAGTCTTGTTATATAGAGCGCTTATAGTACACCGCACGTTAATTTATGTGCGGTGTCCGATCTAAATCACTGAAATACATTTTTTTTATTTTTTTTATTTTATTTTTAGACCCACTCTGAATTTTTTAGCTTATAGTGTACAGACACCGCACGTTAATTTATGTGCGGTGTCTGATCTAAATCACTGAAATACATTTTATTTATTTATTTTATTTTATTTTTAGACCCACTCTGAATTTTTTACGGTCCAGATTGGACGCCGCACAATAATTTTTCTATTAGGTGCGAGCAGGCTTTTCATGCATATATTTCACATATGATAATTTGATGTTAAGAAAAAAATGACATGCCTCGTTTTAATATAATAAAAGTAGGTTAAGTTTCAATTAAATAAGATTAATTTATAGATTTGTTTTTCAAAAATCAGAAATTTATTTTTATGTCTACAAAAGAAAACTCTGAATTATGTTGTTCCGTATCAAATGCTGAACTATGGATTGAAGAAAGGTTAAATTTATGCATTAACCTTGTTGAGTTTTAGAGCTCGGTCCGCCTTCCCGCTCCCGCTCCCGATCGCGAAAAATCGCGAGTACTCTCTGTCGCAAAACTGCTCCCACCAACTCCCGCTCATATCACAACATAACTTGGACATGATTTGGAATAGATATCCTATTAATGTTAAGTTGTTGGTAGGATTAATTTAACATATCTCAAACGGTTTAATTTTTTCGTTGATATATAGGCGTTTATAAGAACAAGGATGTTTGAAATTTATTTTGGATGCAGAACTTAAATAACTTAAAATATAAGCAGTAAAATGATTACAACCCTTTGTCAAAATACAATGCAAAAATGCTATTAATTACGTAATAGAAGAAAGAAGTACCTTGAAAAGAGGTGTAAAGTCGAGAATGTTGGGTTTCGGTGAAGCGAAGCACCCACATGAGACTGAGTGCCCGGCGCCGGGTTAGGGGCACTAAAACGCACACCTTGGCGATAGACAGACACTCATGTGCCGGCATATGAAAGCATAAGCACCCACTTTGGGCACCTAGACGCCCAATTCAAGTGTGTACCAATTTTTCTCCTGTAGGCGCGGCGCTTATGCACCAAGTCCAATGCATAAGCAGTCTTTTTTTACAATCTTTGCTCTAAGAAGCCAAACTTCAGCGATGTAAGGTCGACTTTCTATGTGAGAGTTCTTTAACAAAGTTTCTGTGAAGACTAGAAGTGTCACAGAGGAGGATTTCTTTGATCTTGAAGTGTGTTTCTTGTGTTGGATTGGAGAAGGAAGAGTTTAGACCATGGTCTTGTAAGTTTACTTGAGAGTAGAGAGAAAATTGAGTGTGTTCTATATAAAACCTATTATTTTCATAGTGAAAGTTTTCTGGTGGGATAACTCTGTGGTTTTTTTTTTAATTGTTTTTTTATTTTCAGCATTGAGTACTTGTGTCCTTTTCTAGTTTGTTGTGCTTCTGTTCATAAGTTTGTTCTGATTTTTCTTCGACTCTACGCGATCTTCGTTGAATGGTTTAGATTTCTAATTGAGTCTAAGCTCCGATAAATTTTGGGGAGGGAATTTTTCGGAGAGTTATGCTTTCTCCTAATAGAGAAAAAGAAATTGAATACTTGTGTTTGAAAATAACATATTAGTTGGAAATAGAATGATGGGCTGAATTAAAAATTGTCTATAGCCCCTTACCACATAGGCAAGACTTGTTTGAAAGAAAGCAGCGAAAAAAATGATTTTTAGAGGGTTGGGGTACAACAAGAAAGTAAGTGTTGAAGAATGCTTTATCCCCTCTTTTTCCAAGTAGCGTGTAGCCTGTGTCATAGCAAGGACAGAAAGGCGGTGCTCTTCCCTAGTTGGTGTAAGTTAAGACATTCGCCAAATTACAGGGATGGTGAATTAGCATTTTGCATATGCCCAAGTCTTCTTCGAACATGCCTCAGATATTCTCTCTTAGGCCACTTGTTTGAGACATTCTTTATGTCTCACCAAGTGATGGAACATTTATTGGTGACATGTAGAATCTCAAAATGATGGATTCAAACCCTTATTATGAAAAAATAAAATAAAATACAACAGGTACTAGGGTACCTAACAAAATAAAAATTTATTAACTACATTTAAAAAAACTATGCTTCGAAAGAGCAACTTCATGTAATTTCGTTTACACCACTATTTTTAAGAATTTAAGGACATTATATATTCAAGCAATTAAAAATCTTTCTTTAAAAAACTAGCAATTAAAACACAAATGCGCTTTTAGCCACAACTATTTTTCTTTATTCATAATTTAAAAAACCAATCAAACATATAAAATGACTGAAAATTATATTTAATCACACTACTTTTGAAACGATGGTCTATTATAAATAAATGCAATGCATAGCTTTGGCGATTTGGTGGGTGCAAGATCATATGGATAAACCAATAACAAATAACAGTAATATACAAATAAAAACGACAACGAAGCTATCGTTTGGTGGATTATCGAAGACCTTAGCCGCTTGCATGCCTCGACTATAATAAGCCATAACCCTCGCCAGCTATCTCCCCCTCCGGTTGAGCCGCCGCAGCAAGAGGCCAACCATAACACGCCGCCTCATGACCCTCATCCATGACTCCTCCCCACATGCTTCCGCACTTAACCCGCGGCGCCAATAATGCCATTTACTACACATTGCCACGTCCATTACTTTATCACCATAACAATCCAGCTTGCTCGATCCCCCTCTTTCCCGTCCCATTCCTCCCCTCCTAATTACCCCACACGTGTAAGCTGCATTCCCCTTCTCTCTCATCCATTATTTGATTCCGCGCTTTCTCTTGCCTCTCCTTGTCTCTGGTCCACTATATAAACTCAAATAATCCTCCATTCTCCTCACCTCACAATATAATGGCTGTTTCATTTCATCATTCGCTCACCTTCTCTCTCTTTATAACTTCCCAACTTCTCTTCGGGGCCTCCTTCGCTTCCCGTAAGCTCACTGCAGCGGACCAGCAAACGCAGCCTCTCACCATCACCTACCACCAGGGCGCACTCCTCTCCGGCCCTATTTCCGTCAACCTTCTCTGGTACGGTAAGTTCACCTCATCCCAGCGCGCCATCCTATCAGATTTCATCTCCTCCCTTTCCGCTGCTGCTGAGCCGAAGCCCTCCGTGTCCACTTGGTGGACGATGGCCGAGAAGTACTACACCCAGTCGAAATTGGCGCCACCTCGGCTCACCCTCGGTGAACAGATTCTCGACGAGAACCACTCCCTGGGTAAATCTCTCAAGAACTCCGATATAGCCGCCCTCGCGGCGAGAGGCCGTGCCCGGCGGGCTTTAAACGTCGTGCTCACGGCGGATGACGTGGCCGTGGAAGGATTCTGCATGAACCGTTGCGGGACCCATGGGTCGTCACCCCGATCTAAATCCGGCCGGTTCGCCTATATCTGGGTGGGTAACTCGGCGGTCCAATGTCCGGGCCAGTGTGCGTGGCCATTCCACAAACCAGTGTACGGCCCCCAGGCCCCACCTCTCGTCGCTCCTAACGGCGATATCGGGGTTGATGGAATGGTGATGAATCTGGCGAGCATGATCGCCGGCGCAGTCACGAATCCTTTCGGCGGTGGTTTCTTTATGGGGCCGAAGACGGCGCCGCTTGAGGCGGCGACGGCGTGCCCAGGAGTATATGGCAGGGGAGCGTACCCGGGCTACGCCGGCGAGCTCATGGTTGACTCTTCAACGGGCGGTAGCTATAACGCCAATGGGGCTAATGGGAGGAAATTTCTGCTTCCGGCTATCTTTGACGTCTCAACGGCTTCTTGTTCCACGTTGGTGTAATTTTGTTCTTAATTTGCTGTTCTCCATTGTAGATATTGAAGAAAAATCGCTTCCTTCGATTTGTTTTTTCATCAATTAAATGCTGATGCTGTTAGTGGCTATGAGTTGAGAAAAATTTACATAGCGAGCAGTACGTAATTCACTCCCGATAATTTTTCAATAACCCATAGGAAGGGTATTAAGGGGTTGTTACAAAGTTTATTTCAGTGTTATTTGAAGTCAACATCCTCACGGTTACTCTTTCACATCTGCTTTTTTCTGGTGTTAGGATATTCACTCCAAATAACGTCTGCAATAACCCCAATAACCTTCGCAAAAATTATTAAGAAGTTATTAGGAAGGGATTAGGCACTGAGAGCCTATGGATGAGAGGTGTTTAATGTGGTAGCTGGATAAAGATGAATGAAGGAGCAGACTTAATTCTTAAATTTTACGGTTTAGGATTAATATAATGCTTTATTTTTCTTAACTTATTTTAAATTATCAAGATATTCTGATAATTAGATCTGAAATAAAAGCTCAATAAGTTGGCTGTGCTCAATTTATGTATTAACTTAACTAGATGATCTTAAATAATTATTTAAGGAGATGATATTAAATAATTATTTTAATCTCATTTTTTTAATGAGGAATGCAATTAGCTCGTCGTGGTTGCGTTTAATAAGCCAAATAAAAATGTACCCAAGTTTAGTTCGCTGACAGCTTCAATAATAAAGTGATGTATAAATAGTAATAGACACGCATCATTCATGACTAAATTGGACTCCTTTGTTTAGCCGATAAGCTCAAGCTAAAAACGTAAATTAATAATTTTAGCTGAATTTAATTATTTCAAATTCAAATAAAACATTTTCCAAAATGGCCAAAGTATGATTTCTTTAAAACCTTTAGATTATTGTTTCTATTTTTGCAAAATATTAGTTGGTCTATTTCTGATGTTAATCAAACCTCTACTTGTAGGGTTCATTAGCGTCTACGAAAAATCCGTCTGCTTTATCCGCAAGACTTCAATGATTCCAAAGCAAGCACATTCATTGCACTGAGGTTTGATTAAATCGTTTGTAGGGAAGCCACTACAAAAGATAGCGTCCGGTCCCGATTTCCATATGCAGCTTCTCTGCAATATATTCAGAGCATCCAATGCCATTTTTAAGCGGATAGCCATTCAATGATAGGACGGGCTCGGTGTACTACGGAGATTCTAATCGGAAATCCATCCCTTTCAAACGGAGTGCTTATTCGCGGGTAGGGTCGGGCTCCAAGCGGAGTCGAGTGCAAGCTCGTCACGTGAAATTTTAGGACTCATCTTAGAAGGTAAAATAAATTAATTAAGACACTCGATCCGGCCCATCCAAAACCCGACCCCGCCTAAGAAGAGAAAAAAGTGACTTTTTGGCCATAATATAATACAGATACGTGTTATTCCGCCGGGTATTTAATAACGCGTTGTTTTTCAAAAGTATTGTGTCATACTTTAATTAAACCACATTATTTTCAGAATAATGTTGGATTAATTTTGGGACTACAATGTAATTAATAAATGTGTTGGGTCATCATTAAATAAGTCAAAATTATTGTGGTCTAATTTAGAATTAAGTTCATGACTTTGGGCACATTTGTCATGATATTATAGTGTGGATACCATAACATATAATAACCCGTTATTTATCAAAAATCTTGTGTTATACTTTAATTAAACCACATTATTTTTTAAATTATCATGTTATACTGTAAAATATACGCGCTATATTGAGAATACATGTGTTTTTACGAATTGTTATACCACATTATTGTTGTGTTATTGTTCAAAATTCAAGTGTTATACGAGTTTAAGTTATTATAACGAGTTCAAAATTCAGTTTTATCATGTTATATGACTTTATAACCTGAAAATTTCAAATTTTAAGTGTTATATCTTAAAATAGTTACTTATTAAAATATTCAAATATAAATACAATTCAAAATATAAAATAATCGTGTTATATTGCGATATATATTCGTTATATTGAAAATACGTGTTATAATTAATTATTGACACGTTATTTTAAATTTTATCGTGTTATATGATCTTATAACCTGAAAATTTCAAAATATAAGCATTATACTGTAAAATTTAAGTGTTATAACGAAATATTGTTAATGAAAATTTCAAAATCTTGTATTATACCGAATTATATGACTTTATAACCTGAAATTTTAAAAATATAAGTGTTATACAGTAAGTTTTTGTATTTTTCGGGATTTAATTCGGGTCGGATTCACGATAAACGTACCTATTAAATTTTCCGCGTTGATTGAGGTTGGGTCAAGTTTCTTTTTTAATTGTTATATGTTGCGGGACTCAATTCCACTTGTACTTCACTCATTGGATTCCGCAAGCAACTCACCTTGTGGAGTCTTGAGGCAATAAAAAATTCTTTCAAATGCGAGCTATGACTGTAGTGTTTGTGATAATTGTTATAATCTCCAAAAAATAAAATTTTGAAGTTATATTGTCACGATCGATAAAAAAAATTCATAAGGAGGAAAAGTGGGGTTTTCTTTTTTCTTTTCAGTTTATTTCGGTCATCTAAAAGTTCCATAAAGGAAAATTTACTTGCCACATGATACTTATGCATTTACAAGCTAATAACTAAAATTCAATGTTTATATTTTTGGCATTTTGATATGAAAATTTATGTAAGAAAGTATATATTTATCCTATATATAATAATTATATATTATGATATTAAGGATTTGAATGTTTTGCATTTAAATATGAAGTTTATGAACTTCAGGTGTTAGATATGTAAAGATTAAAGCTCTTAAAATATGGATCTGTGAGAATCAGAGTCTAAAAAGGATCGAAATACAATTCATATATAATAGAGCTCTTATGATACCATGTTTCACAACTTGAAAAGTGATTGGGGCAGCTACAGTTATTAAGAAGTAATTGTGAAATTGTTAAAAAATAATTTAATTTTTAAAAAGCTGCCATAGCTACTACAATATATTATTTTTTTGAAAAAATTAGACCACAGTTAGAAAGTTGTCACCGCACTTCGTCAGAACCGATGGTAAAACATAGATTTCAGCGACAGCTTTTTAAAAATGCTGTCAAAAAGGCAATTTATCCAAACAGACAAAAACTATGGTGCGAATAGCATCACCGTCAAACTGTCACCCTTAAATAGATTCTTAATCTCACACAAAAGAAAAAAAAAAAAAAAAAAAAAAAAAAAACTCTTGAAGTATCTAAACAAAATATAATTGCCTCAATAAATCCAACTTTCCCTTCAAATTCGATGACAACTCTAACAAATAGCAAAAACATAGAATCAAATCAAAACTTTTTATTCTTGAATGTGTGGCATATTAAATAGAAATTAAATGAAGAATTCCGATGTCATGTTCGAGCAAGCCTTTTCATCAACACAAAAATAGGTTTAAGTTAAACGAGGTTTATTTCGAGGTGTTAAATAAATTTTTGACTTTTAAAAATACATAATCAAATCAGGGATGGATTTAGGAGGGGCATGTAGGTGCAATCGTCCTCTCCCTCGCCCACGACATACGCACGAGCGCTATCTAAGTACGTCATACACACATAATTCTGCGTCGTTTGACCTCCAATAAACTCTCAATAACCTACCACTATATTCTGCGGTTCGGTGCTCATCTTTTTTTCGGTCATCCAAGGATTTTGTGAGATTATTGGGGTTTTAACCCAATAACAGAGAGATAATTCTCCAATACCCCCGAATAGCCGTCACACGCACGCAATTCTGCATGCATCTGACGTACGTAAATATTTTTCCATACGTAACACACATCCCCCGAATTCTAAAATCTTAGGAATTTATATCCTTCATTTATTTGTATTTTATTTAAATGTAATTTTCATTAAAATATATAATTTGTGCTCTTTAAAAAGTTAAAAAATTAAATTTATTTTATGTGAATTTGATTTAATTTATTTTTCTAAAGTAATTTTAGCAGTAAAACTTCAGTAATTTTTTTACCGATCAAAATCAGTAAAATTTATTTTAAAATTATAAATTAGATTGAAGGCTTAGAAAGCTGGCAAGTGGTTGGAAATAGGGCTGTAAGTGAGTCAGGCCAAATCGTGAGTCGCCTCGAGCTCGGCTCGATAAGTGGCTCGTGAATAGAGCTCGATGATTAACAAGTCAAGCTCAAGCTAGCCCTGACTTGACTCGTTAGCTCTTGAGCCTGCTCGTTTAAGAAAATATTAATAGTTAACTCTTGAGCCTGCTCTTTTAAGAAAATATTAATATAAAATATGATCAAAATATATTAAATTTGATGCTTTTTCCTTAAAGGATTAAAAATATTTAAAATATAATAATTTGTATTTTATGTTATGTGATTTCTTATTATATCTTTTCAAATTGCTAATTATATTAGTTATTTTATTATAACACTGTCTTAATTTAATATTATTTTTTTTCTCTTTTATACTAACCAAGCTGGCCCGAACTCGTAAACTTTAGCTTGAGCTCGAGCTCAAACTCGATAAAACTAATCAAGCTCAAGCTCAAGCTAAGGGTGGCTCGAGCTGACACGACTCGTTCACATCCCTAGTTGGAAATGGAGGAACTACATGGAAAAATAACAGTAACTGTTGTATTGGGGGCAGATACAACATGGAAGGTCAACGTGGATCGACAGGGAGCGATGGGGGGAATGATAAATCACTACATAGAGAGTGACAACCTTCGAAGGGAGAAAACTTAAATTGAAGGTTGTCTTAAACTTACGCCAAAAATTATTCATACCACATTATCTAGCCAAAATCAAAATTGTGGTCTACAACTTCTCTGCTGTTGGAGGCAACCTAAACACTAAGGATGTGATTCTTTACACACTTAACAAACTCCTAACGCAATTTCAATCATTCAAAGCAGCAATACTGACTCAATTGCTACCGATGAACCGAGACAATTTCTACTCACTATTGTGTAAGGCTAGCCACTGAAAAGATCAATCAATTGAATGACACCTCAAGGAAAAACCCATTACCAACCTACATTTAGCCCTTACAACTACACACAATTGCAACTAGAATGCATCTACTGTTCGAGGCAGGAATCAACACTTCAATCAGCGAATGAAAGTTGTAAGATCTCAATCCAGACCCCCTATCATCTGTCAAATTTGTCATAAGACAGTTCACTCAGCTGGTAGCCCATTGGCACTGTCCAAACCTTAAATATGTACCATTCAACCTCGCCTTATAAGCTTCTACCACACCTTGGCTCCTTGATATTGGTGCAACAACACACTTAGCATCTGCTTTCAACCATCTTCAAAAAGACATGCCAACCACTAGAGCTACAAAAATACTAGTTGGAAATGGACAATTTATTGGCATTCTTCATATGCCTGAGTATAAGCTTAAACTCTCCAACATTTGGCATTCACCCTCCTTAACTAATAATCTTCTCTCTGTACATAAATTAACTGTTAATAATAACCTTTTTATTATCTTTAATTTTGTTGGTTTCAATATTTTTTATCCTCAGACAAATCAGACAATACTTTGGGGCAATAACTTGAAAGAGTTGTACAACAGCTTGAAAGAGTTGTACTCAATTCATACCATAGCTCCCACTTCTCACTTGGAAGTACCTCATAAAGCCCTTGCTACAATAATCAAAGATCCAATCATCTAGCACAAGTGCTCAGGTCACCCTCACATGGAAATTCTTCATCGCAGCACCAAGAAAAATCCATCTTTAGCAATTTCATTAAATTCATCATCATGTGAAAGTCATAATTGTAACAAAGCTCACAAAATACATTTGCAACTTATTCACTCCATTGTATGGGCACCCTCCCCAATTTTCTCTAATCAAGAATATAGATATTATGTAGTCTTTATTGGCAATTATACCAAATTTTGTTGGTTATTTCCAATGCGTCATAAATCTGAAACAACCCAAAAATGCATACTCTTCATAAAGATGATCAAAACTTAGTTTTAATCAACTATCAGAATACTTCTATCAGACGACTGTGGGGAATACAATAATGGCACTCTTCACTCTTTCTTATCTCAAAAAGGATTTCTCCACCAATTCTCTTGCCCGCATACACCGAAACAAAACAGTGTCGTTCATCGCAAGCATCATCACCTAATTGAAACCACCAAAGCACTTCTCCATGATGCCTCTGTTCTATTTAGTTTTTGGGTTGATGCACTCCATATAACACTCTATCTAATTAACTACATGCCTCAAAGAACTACAGATTTCTCCCCTATGAAAAATTGTACAAACAACCTCCAACCTACTCCCATCTAAGAGTATTCGATTGCTGTTGCTACCCATGACTCAAGCATATGACACTTCAGCAGTTAGCACCTCACTCTACTCCATGTGTATTACTTGGCTATTCTCCCACACACAAAGGATTAAAATGGTCGCCTCATTAATGGTACACCATCATCTCTACATTCTTCATCAAACGAGGCTTTCATATTAGTAAATATGATCCATCGTTGTTGCTCTCCTCGACAACCACACACAGACTCTTTGTCCTAATTTATGTAGATGACATGGTCATCACAAATGATAACACTACTGCTATTTTAAGCTTCATGCAACAGCTCCAATCCACCTTCCAAAGCAAGTATCCAAAGAAAGAATCTAAATTCTTAGACATTATTGTGAATCACACGAAAGAATTTTTGTTTGTCTCAACATCAATATCTCCATTGCATTCTACAAGACATAGCAATGCTTGACTCCAAAACCTGCTGCAGCTCTTCTTCACACAAGAAAGTATGAAATTGCTGCTCATAATGAACCCTATGACAATCCAATTGAATACAGGTAAATAAATGACGCCCTTCAATACCTTACAATCATAAAACCAAATATTGCATTTGCCATCAATTATCTTTGCCAACGTATCATGAACGGCTGGTCTCTCACTATCACATTCTCAAGAGCTTATTACGCTTCTTAAAAGGCTCAATTGGATTCACACTCAAAATTTCACGTTCCCCTCCCACACTCCAAACTTACTCCGATGTTGATTGGGCTGACAATTCATCAGACCAAAATTTCGTAACTGTTTTTTGTACCTTATTGGGTGAAACAATAATCTCGTAGACATTTAAGAAACAATTCACAATCGCTCACTCCTCCACCAAGCTACCAGGTCTTGGCTGCTGCTACTACAAACCTTATTCAGCTTTGTTGTTTACTTGATGAAATCGACATTCAACTGGAACAACTAGCACCTCTCTTATGTGACAACATGTCGGCTATGGCTATTGCCAACAACCCGATTTACATGCTTGTATGAAGCATATCATAACCGATTATAACTTCATTTGTGAACACATCCAGTCAGGTCATCTTCAACTATATTATATACATATCTAGGATCAACAACATATAACTTCACCAAATCACTGCTTAAACAATGTTTCCAACACCTTCACTCCAAGCTTCAGTTCATCAGTGAGACCCGTTAGCTTGCATGGTGTTGTAATATGAGCATCATTTATTCGGTTATATGGGTAATTCTTCTTATTGCCTTTGATCGGTAGGACCACCACCTTCTCTCATCATTACAAGTATATGGGTATAGTATCATAGCAAACTAATGCAGAGAATATTGCCTCTAGTTCTTACCTATATATAATGTCCATCCCTACATACATTTTGGCTTTTCACCTAATATGAAGTAAAGTTGTGTTATTATTTCCCATTCAATAATCATGTATCTCCTTCTATCTTCCATTGCTATTAATTATGATCACTAACCAATCTTTTTATGATTTCCTTAATTCAATATGACATATTAGTTGCAGAACTTGAGATTTAACCTTTTTTTTTTTGCACAAAACATGAAATAATATAATGTTGAAACTTCTATGTATTTAAATATGCAATAAATTAATGAGAATTGTTGCAAGTAAATTATGAAAAATAAAAATAATAGATATATGATTTGTAGGATTAATAAAGCAAGGCTAGAGGTAAGCTTCATATGCCTCAAGTTGCTCGAGAATCTAGAGTGAGGAGTATGAACAAATTTTCTAATTTGCTATATATATATATACTGTTTGCATCTTCTCTTTTAAAAAATTAGGCTTTATTCTCATTTTTAATAAAAAAAATACAGTCGGATAATCGCTCTGCATGCACCTGTCCGATACCAGACAAAAATCACTTCAGCTATCCACGACCCCACCGGAAAACGTGAAAAAAGGGCGGCGCCGCCATGTCCATGACGTCGGCAGTTACGTGCAACCGCTGCCGGCAAGCTACCCTATCACTATTAACCTTCATCGATCGAACGGTTCGCTGTCCATCCTCAGCTCAGTCCGGCAATGGGTTGGAGAGGGATTCTAGGATTCGAGTATGGAATCATCCAGGGCCCTCTTGGCCCCGACATTTCGGGCCCCGAACTCGTTTCTTCCGTAGCCAACGCTGGCGCCATTGGTACTCTTCGAGTTCCCGACTGGGTAACACTAAAAACTTTCTTTCTCTGGTATTTTAGTTTGAAAAGTGTCTGAATGATGGATCCCTTCTTGAATGAAAGGCAGTGAACCAATACGATTTCTTTTGAATTGATCAGTAGCCGTATGCTTCTTGGTCTGATTTTTGTCTTTCTTCTCTGAATTTGATTTCGTGATTGTTTTTTTAGATTGATTTACATTTGCCGTGATTGCCTTTGGTGATTCATAAATTATCTGCTGATTTCATTTGCATACGCCTGATATTTTAAACCTCTACTGCAGGAGGCGCCCGATTATGTTAGGGATCTGATTCGTAAAACAAGAACATTGACAGACAGACCATTTGGAATAGGTGTCGTTCTGGCATTCCCCCACATGGAAAATATCAAGGTTATATTAGAGGAGAAGGTTGCCGTGTTGGTGGTGTCTTGGGGTGAGTACCCTAGGGAACTTGTTTCTGAGGCTCATAATGCAGGGGTCAAGGTCATTCACCAAGTGAGTGTTTTTTTTTTTTGAAGAATCTATTTCTATCATTTTAACTCTGGAGCAGTTCGTTTTTATATTGGTATCTGTCACCAATTTGCTGGGCTCAGACTAAGCATAGATTAAAAATAATGATCTCTCTAACAATAGGTGGAATAAATCATCATTGGATGTCTTACGGTCTAGAGTTTTTAATTTGGATATGCAAAAATTCACATAGCATTGATGCAAATATGCAAAATTTATAAGACACGAACTCTAAATCTTGTATAATTATTTGCAATCTGCTTGCAAATAAAAAATATGGGAAATATAAAAGAAAAACTCAATGGCCTGCTTATTTTATTAGTAAGAATGACTAGAAATTTAGTTCTAGGTAAGCCATAAAATACTTTAAAATTCATGCACTTGTCGGAAATCAAAATGTATTTAATTTTATTAAAATTAATTACACTCTTTAACTAATAAATATAGAGGAATGTAGTAGAAGAAGGAAAACAGTTCAACAAGAACAACAAAACAACAACAACAGAAAAAAAAAGAATCCTCACTTGTACAAGTTGATAACTTTGTCATGAAGTTCAAGTCTATAATTTTATCTTGGGATTGAATCTTAGAAGTAGGAATAACACGTTTAATAAGTTATTTTTTCTCAAATAATACCTGTTTTTTCAACTTTCCTTAGATCCTATTTGTAATTATAAAAACTGATATAAAATTTCCCTTAAATAACCCGAATGAAGAACCCTAGGTATACAAATGGCTACAAAAAAATAGAAAACCTTTAAAAATAGAGGAGGACGCTTCACATCATATCCATAACATAATGATTAAAATATAATAATTGACATATGCTTGCCTTGATAACATCGATTGATAAAAGCAAGCAAGTGGAATGCTAAGATTATGATAATCACATGTTTCAATGATTGAGTTTGACGAAGGAAAAAAAATTCCAAAAAGAAAGTGTAAATCATATCTAATAAATAAATATATGGTATAATTAGTAATCAACCAAAACCAAATACACAAATTTACCAGTTTCTGCATAATAATTATGCCTAGATGCTGTTAATACATTGTCAGCTGAAGCTCACGTGATGTCATTGGTTCTCGCAGCATAAGAATGGAAAGGGATTTATCTGTTAGAACTCGAGCTAAAAAATGGGTGCTGACTTGTGAAAATTTCCATCCCATCACACGACATGTATAACCGTTGTCAAGAACATGGTAATATATAGCAACTTTGTTTGCAGTTTGCTCTGTTAGATTTCAAAATATTTAACAGATGTTTTTGAACCAAAACTGATTATAATATCAACCTTAAACCTCTTTTGATAAATTTGAATCAGTTCAAATACAAATTTTTGTATGCATTTTATAGATAAATCAGATGATGATATATGAAATCATAATATATTATGATAGTTTAAAGGAAACAATAACTAGTAATATTATAAGAGGCCAATCATATAGCATGAATTAATATAAACAAGGAGCAAAGTTAATCAATAAGAATACATTGTCCATTTGATATAAAATTGGATTCTACAATGAGAATATAATCATGTAAGCTTCAAATTATGTTTGAGTGAAAGACTCTTACTTGCCATTGAATTATTATGCCACCTAACATGAAGCCAAGCCCTCAAAATTCACTTCACTTGGCTCCATCAATATTAAGGGCTCTTGGCTTCAATCTAAGATAAAAAATGACAATTAATGGAATTAAGGCCCCGTTTGTTTGGGCTTTTGAAACCAGTTTTTGCTAAAAATGCCGTTTTATAGGTGTTTTTTTCGCTTGTTTTTCGTCTCGTGATCGCGACCACGTTTCGATTTACTGTATATTCATGACCGCAGTCCGCGGGTGCGTTTCATGGTTCACAAATAAACAATTATGCGAATACCCTCGATTCTTTGCCTCACTCCATTGTGCCCGAGCCACTCGAGGAGGCCTGCCCGCTAGCCTTGCCTCACTTCGACGATTACCGTCTCCGTTTCGCCGCAGATATGATCATTGCAAAAGTGAACATACTTGAAAGTGGGAATCGCAAGTCCCCTTTTCTATATTCTTCTACTAAACCCTTTTTCTTCTCCTACAATTTTTTGCTATTACTTTTCTCCTACATTCTTCCTGAAATAAATACTTTTTGGTTGAGGGGAAAGATATTACTGTTCTATTTCACCGTTGAAGTTGAGATGATGGAAAAAATTAGTTTTTCTTTACAAGGAGTTTGGGCATATGCAGAAGGTTCCTCTACAAATTTTGCTTATTTATGGAATAAAAGCAAGTTAATTTGATTTTTTAGGAAGATTTGTACACATACCAATCAATTCGAACGTGTTTACATCCATAACACAAAAAACTTCTGTTGTTTTGAATGGAGACCCTACCCATACTAGAATTGGTTTATTTCTCTGTTTAAAGGTCGATGATGTTATTTTCCTGTGGTATGAAAGATTTGGGTGGTATAATGGTTTTTTTGGAAAAAAAAAGAGAGTTTGGATAAGAGAGTTTGGATGTTAGATACGCCAACCAAAGGGAATTGGCTTGCACGCATGTAAATACCCCTTGATTTTTGGATAAATTGGTAGAACAGATGATGTAAACATTTTTCTGCTCGATTTGTATGGTATGATTGTGGGCATCTCTTTTATTTTAGTTGTATGCGAGAGGATTTTGTATATACAAGCTTCAGCCATTGCTATTTTATTTGAAGTGAGTTTGTGGGGAATTGGCGTTTAAAATACACAATTCCTTTAAATATATATAACCCTTTCGCTTCTCCTAAAGTTCCATATTTACGCGGTTAAATAGTTTGGTGCGACAAAGCTATGTATAAAAGGTGGATTTCACCTAAAGTCACTGGCGGTGTTCCTTAAATTAGAGTCTTGTCATCTCCTTTCACTTTAATGCTTCACACTTGCAATATCCACTAGTTGTCTTTGGGAATTTATGTTGCATATGTGAATTGATAGGACTTGCGTGGTATGTATGTAGATATGTGAATTTATATTGCATATTGATGAAAGAAGTAATGTTTTTGTGTCTTAAGGTTTTATGGTCAATATCTTCCAATCTTTTATGATCAATATAACATTTTAAATCATATCTTAAGGTGGTAGATACAATAAAAAATGGGTGATACGTGAGATAGCACATGATCAACTATATGAGAGAAAGAAATAAAAATGATTTTTTGTGACATTTTCTTGTGAGAGATTGAGTTAGGAAATAGACCTACAACACGTTTCAACAAAGAAAATTGATAAAACATCACGAAAAAATTTCAAGAGAGAACGATGACATTGTATGACAAAACTCAATTGAAGAACAAATGAGATCAATTAAAAAAAGATTAAAAAAGTTAGAAAGAACTCGAAAGAGGATCCACTGGACTTGGTTGGGATCTAGTTAAAAACACCATAGATGCATCTGCAGAATGGTGGACGGAGAAGCTACGGGTAAATTTAAAATTTTATTATATGCAATTGTTCAGTTAAGTTACATGAGAAGTATTATCAATGATTTTTACATTCGTTTTTGTTAACGACAGGCTGTGCCAAATGCTAAAAAATTCAAATTTGGTGGAGTCGAGTCTTAATTAGAGAAGAATTTTGATCTAATGTTCAATGAAGTTGTTGTGACTGGTAGACATTCCTGGACTCCTCAAGACTCTCATGAACCTAGAGAGAGTCAAAATGAACCTGATTCAAAGAGCATCACATGAGATAAATGAACACAATGAATCTAGTCATGCAAGGACTACCCTCTTTAAAAGCAAGGGCAGTTCGTACAAAGAAAATTGGTCCTCATTTTCTTAGGAGTCAAATATCGAAATCAGTTATCAATTACACAAACTTATCATCTGAAGCTAACACCATAAAACCTTCTTCATCCATTCCTAATGTGATAAAGATCTTTAGAGCAAACTGCAGAAGTTTATGAAGATGTGCAATTTTATCTTAATTCAATGAAACTTCTTGAAGATCCAGTGAAGAGAGAATTTTTCATATCTATGGCCTTGAGAGGAGAGTTGATTACCTGCCATTCTTTTATAAAAAATCACGACAACTAATCCCTATTATTTAAATGTTTTCCCTATGGCATATGCTTAATCTTTTTTGTATTTGTAGATTGTCTACTCTCGTGACTATTGTATTATCAATTTGAGATTGTGTTTGTGTGAACCTTCTTTGTTTTATGATCAGACAATTAATACTTGCGTTAGTGGTGCTTTCTATTGTGATGATATCAATTGTATTGTGTTGTGGTTTTGTACTTTTGCTTACAATAATAAGTTCTCCTCTAGATATGTTTTACTGAATTTTTTTTTTTGTTGTTATAAAACGACATCGATAGTGATTGCAAATATCCGAATTTTTTTTTGCAGTAATGGATGCTACAAATAGAGAACACAAAAAAACGTTGCATACAGATTATTGCAACAACTATCTGCCTGCTGTTTGAAAAATATGACTCAATACTCCGTGCATGACCTCAAATTTTACTGGGGACAAATGGATAGGTGAGATGTTAAAGGGTCATCCTACGAGATTCCATAACATGTTTTGCATGAATCAACTAGTCTTCACTGATCTTTTGAGTGAGCTCCGAAGTACTAACTGTCTCAATGACTCACAAGGACGACTTCACAGGAGATATTAACAATAACATATGTATCCCGTCGCATAACTAGTTCATAAGAGTAGGTTGTGAAAGATTTCAACACTCATATGAAACTATCAGTAGATACTTCACAATTAGTTTTAATTCTTTGATACACATGTCTTCCAATATCATCAAACCTTAAGATCCAACTTTCCAAACTATTCCAATACAAATATCATGCGATCATCGGTATATGTCATACTTTAAGGTGTGTTTCGTGAATACTTATCTTACAGAAACATGCAAATAGTGGAATATAAGCTAATATAGATGTGATGCAAGATTGCATTTATGTCATTGATGAAACACATGTTGATGCACGTGTGTCAAATGCTGATAA